GTTCCTGGTGGCCAGAACCTAGTTAACTGAACGTAAAACTTTATTTAACTTAAGTTCGTTAACTAAATTAGTTAACTTCGTTAAGTTAATCATGCACAGACTAACCCCTGCATGCACATTTTTTGACCACCAGGCTACTCTAACCTGTACGATGCTCGGGCATCGCTGATGCGTTTCTGTTTGGCGTCGATTTGGCGTAGTTATGGCGTCGAATTGGCCTACATTAGGCGTAGATTTGCCGTCGAGTTGCCCTACATTAGGCGTAGATTTCCGTCGAGGTTGCCTACATTAGGCGTAGATGCCGTCGAGGTTGCCTACATTAGGCGTAGATGCCGTCGAGGTTGCCTACATTAGGCGTAGATTTGCCGTCGAGTTGCCTACATTAGGCGTAGATTTACCGTCGAGGTTGCCTACATTAGGCGTAGATTTACCGTCGAGGTTGCCTACATTAGGCGTAGATTTACCGTCGAGGTTGCCTACATTAGGCGTAGATTTGCCGTCGAGTTGGCCTACATTAGGCGTAGATTTACCGTCGAGTTGGCCTACATTAGGCGTAGATTTACCGTCGAGGTTGCCAACCCATTAGGCGTAGATTTACCGTCGAGGTTGCCTACATTAGGCGTAGATTTGCCGTCGAGTTGGCCTACATTAGGCGTAGATTTACCGTCGAGATTGCCTACTTTTGACGTAGATTTGCCGTCGATTGGGGTTGTCGGTAATAGCTCAACACAGCCCATCAACCTGAAATAAAATTAAAGAAATAAGCAAACTACAGTTATTGAGAAGAAACACGCGTAAAATCAGGATTGTAAACAGACCCAAAACAAAATCTATAAACCCCCTCTGGGATTTCAAGTATTTCCTTGTCGTTATTCATATTAAATTATCATGCGGCCGTTGTCGTTCTTGACCTGAATCATGCATAAACTCCCCATTGTTCGGTTTATCTAAAAATGTTTAATTGCTTAATACTCACGTTTTATTATGAACAGGTTTTGTCGTCGTTTCAAATAGCTTGACCCGCTAAATCGCTACCTGCAATAAAACCAAAAGAATGCTTGTTATAGACAGCGATTTCAAGGATTTACCTTCGATGAAGGGAGCTTAAATGTCGGGAGAAAACTTGCGGTGATTATTCAGTTGAGAGAGCGCATGATGCCTGATCAAGCGTTTCAAGTTTTCCCATCCTATTTTGAATAAAATAGACCCAAAATTACCTGTTCATTTCAGCAACAAGTGTTGAAGAGCAGCTTTGGACTTGCCGTCTCTTTAAATGCGAGTCATCTCGGGGAATTTCAGCTATGGGTTTTCTTTCCCAGCTCATTTCTATATTCGGTTTGGTTTTTGCTTTTAAACTCCACCTGGAAGAACAAAAGGCAATGGTAGTTTACTGGTTTGGTCTTTAGAACTTAATTCAAAGGTAATTTGCGTGCGATTAGAGCATATGATTAGAGCAAAGGTTAGCGTCTCACATACGATTTAGCGTATATTACCTTTCTCATATCATCAACAAGTCCCCAGAGAAAGCTTAGACGTGCTTACTCTTCGAAGGCGAAGTTATCTTGAGCCATTTCAGCCACTATTCTTCGCGTCAAATGCAAGTCGTCTCGAGCAATTTCAGCGGCTACGGTAACGGACTTCTGGCTCACTTCACTTCATTCAGTTTGGTTTTAAGCTCTCAAACTCCACCTGGAAGAATAAAAGGCACCATTAGTTCACTGCTAAGGTCTTTAGAACTCAATTCAAACGTAACTTGCGCGTGGTTAGAGGGAAAGTTAGCGGCTCAACGGTAAGATTTAGCGTATATTACCTTTCTCATATCATAAAGAAATCCCCAGAAAAAGCCTAGACTTGCTTTCTCTTCAAAGGCGAGTTATCTTGAGCAAGTTCAGCCACCATTCATCGGTCGCCAATCTCTTGTTCACAAATTTCATCGTTTAACTTCGCTTTAATTCATCAAAATTCTGCATGAAAAGAATATAAAGCAACGTTAGTGTTATTCAAGTTTGTATTTGAAGCTGAACACAACAAAAACTCCACGAGAGAGGCATTACAAAACGTGAACTAAAGACACGTGGAACCTCAGCCCAAAAGCTCACGATGAAACAAGCTGATAAAACACGCAAAGGGAAAGGCATATTACCTGGTATAACACCAACGACAGTCTGTCAGAGATAGTAAACTTCTATTAAACTTCTCTTCTGCTGAAGACGATAGCAATCTGATAAAAATTTCTGTTGAAATTTTCTTCGCATGGAGGAGACTCATCTTTATTCTTCCAAGACAAGCGTTGAAGTGATGTCTCAAACTGGAATCAAAAGCACATATTCATTTCACCCGCTCCTCGTGTCTGCAAAATAAAGTCATCCTATTGGATGAACACTCCCGGCCTGACAGCTCAACAACGCCTCTGATTGGATGTTCATAGTAATTTAAATAATATGATTAATTCTCTCCTCCTGAGCCTGGACATCAGAAATGAAAGGAAAGAATTAATCATATTATTCAAATTACTATGCTCGCCCAATCAAAAGCAATGTTGAGCTGTCAGGCCGGGAGTGTTCATCAAATAGGATGACTTTATTTTGCACGAGGAAGGGGTAGAATAAATATATAGCTTTGATTCTACGCAGCGTTTCCACAACTTATTTGCACAAGGCTGTCCTCATGGGGAGATGGTAATGAAAAAGAGAGAAACAAAAAACGTTTGAAAAGAATGCATAATATATCCTATTAAGACTAACCCTCCCTCCCTCATTGTTGACATTTTGAAGGAAATTTCCTTCAATTGTGGAAACGTAGAATTTCTACGGTTGCCACTTGCTGGGCGCTGATTTTCAGAAACAAAACCTTCTGAATTACCGAATGCTTGATATACGAAGCATATTGATGGAGATTTTGGAATAAAATATCAACCTATAATGCAATATATTTAATAACCATTCGCCGACGATTAAAAATATGCTTGTAAATTTTAGTTTTAAATGTACTCAGCATAAAGGCATGGTTTTAAAGTCGAACAATATAAAAACGAAACCGGGACACAATTTACAGAAATATTATATTATATAAATTCCACACAAAATATCAGTCGCTAATAGTTAGGCAAAATATAGCGTCATATTTGACGACGTTATCTTTTGTCGTTTGGCTGAACGTTCTTCTCGTTCACGTGACTGTTAGCTGCGTCCCGAGGGGAGGGGGGAGGTGGGTTTATGTTCACAGACGCGGACGATAGTTGACGCAAACGGTGAGGTTTTGAAACGTGATGTGCTTCTTGCATCGCCGAAACTGTTCCCCTTTCGCTCGCCCTTTCCTCTGTATCTCCTGCTATTCCACCCTCAGCATCATCTCTTGGAGTCGCCCCTCTCTCCTCTGTTTGCTTGTCCCCCACACCTTTCGAGACGCTTCTCTGATGCTCCTGTAGAATGCGCTGAAGTTCCTTTGGCCTCGGGGCTTGAAGCTGAAATGTTTTTCCGTCACGATGTTGCTTGAGATTCTCTTCTGTCGTTCCCAATAATATTTCATCAATGTCGTCTATGGCTTCCTGAGGCATGAAGAAAGAATGGGCAAATCTGAGTAGGCCTGTGTGGGAACAAAAAGAACAGCCTAGACCAGATCCTCGTAAGAATTATAAGTTTCCTTGGCAGTAGGAACTAAATCGAGTGTTCTAGAGCTAGAGGCGCACCCAACGTAATTTTATATCAAATAATTGAGTCCACGAAAAACTTACTTGAAAGTTACTTCTTATTTAAATATTTGGAGCTGATATTTCTTGATGTATTACAGACAAATTGCGTGCAAAAGTCGATAACGAACCTTGAAGATCATCACTCATTACCCTGGCAAGTAAACGAAGCAACAATTTTACCGGTTCTCTAAACACGCTATCTATACAGCCCTTGCTATAGGTTTACTTAGACGCTTGGTGATTTTTTTGGTAGTGCTGATATTTGGAAGACATGAACTTATGAAAACTATACTAAACACTTACATCATCGTAAGGAATTCCTTTTTATAACTATCTACCAAACAAAACATTGTTCCCGCTTTCTCCTAAAGAAAAATATGAACAATTTTAGATATCTATTGTATTCTTAACTGACACAATAAAAGGGGCAACCTTGGTTGGATCCAGGCCCTACCTTCATGTCTAATCCGATACCATGTGCTCGACACATTTGAAAGAAGACGCTGTAATGAATCACACTCAAGTTGCTGTGTTGAGCCGGAACTGAATATCGCATAACGACATGGACTTGGTGAAGGCTGGAAAAAAATGTCGACAAAAGTCCGTCAAAAATTCAAAAAAGAAGCCAAACTTATTGAAAACTAAGTCAGAAAATACCGGAAAGTAAATGTGTTAAAATGCAACGCAAAACAAGAGATAGAAAAATGAAAAGTTGAAATGGAAACTCTTGGGTGGGGGTTAGATTTTTCTCACCGTCTCTGGGTCGATGAAAGTGACAAAATCTATGGAGATATATCCATAATGATGTCCCGTTGTCGACACGCACTGGCTAATTGGAATTAGTAATTACTTTTAAGAAACGCGCGAGCAAATATGTTTCATTTAAAGACGGAATTTCATCGTTTTTTGGCGTAACCCACTTTCATGTTACACATTGTTTGAAAGAGCATATTACTTCGAACTAAATACGGAGTTTTGAAGAAATTCTATAAAATAGCGGCTGAGAAAATTGGGAGATATTAAGACATGCCTGCGCATTATTAATAAATTTAAAAACGCGCCGGAAAAGACTACTCGTTAAACAATCGCAATTTTCTCAGCCTCTATTCTGTGGAACTTCACTATACTTTCGTAAATAGTACAGAATGACACAAGGTATAGAGTTTAAGCTCCATTTGATCGATTTAGTACATTATTCTTTTTAATAAATGTTTGGAAAGGGTTTTACACAATATTTGAATTTCGAACGTTTGAACGATGGAAATGAGTCATATGGTGTTTTTGAATGCGTGTTGATTATTATGTTGAATGTCGTGTTGAATGTGGTGCGTACCATAGGTGCGTACTTCACAGTGGTTCAGTGGTCGTAATAAATTGTTAATTGTCAACTGCACAATATTGATAAGTTCGTTGATCTGGTTTGCTGAGAATTGATAATTAAAGAGTGAGAAATATCTCTTTCATGTTGGTGTCTTCAGCGTTTCTTTGCGAAATCGTTTAGTATGTCGAATCAGCAAGCTCAGGCAGGAGAGAAAGAGCCGGGAACGAGTCAGCCAGATGCATATTTCGACGAAGTTAGCGGTCTAAGGGAGAAATACGACTCGCATATATTACCGGCTGACTATAAATATAAAGTTGGTATGTGGTCATTTTTGATGTTTATGTAGTATTGAAGTTATCTAATGCTTATTACGTAGCTATGCTGTGCTTATGCAATGCAGGAACTCGATTGTTCAAGTTGACCAAGTTGTTTCAGCACTGTCATGGCAGGTAGTCGCCGTATTAACATATATACAGGCATTTTTCACAGCGGGACATCACATGCCACTGTCTTCTACAAAAAGTGCTTCATCTGAATTATAGTAAAATAAAACTCTGATGAGAAATCATTTTGCCTAAACGGATGCAAGCCATGCAGTGTTCCAAGCCATGCACTGTTGCAGGCCAATTCTACTTAAGGTGTTTGGAAGCTAGCCCATGGCAATGTTATGGAAAAAATTTGAGTGAGCTCTTCTGTCAGAAATTGTTATTATGAGAGCTTTCAGCTGTGCAACCATGATGTGTATATCAAGGTACATTGAGACTTATACCCAGCCTCTATGTTCCTTATTGTTGTACCACAGGCTAAATTCAGCATAGTTAGATCTGGAGTAGCCTGCTTTGTGGACACTTCTATTTTTGAAATGAAGTAGGTTGTAGGTAAATAAAATCTTGCTATCATTGTTATATACAAACTTACCTACTTATAAAGTATTAGTATATATCCTTATTGGCACAGCCAATCATCATGCACTAAATCATTTCATCTTTTTCAGAACACCATTACCCAGACTATTACAATCCCAGATTTGTGAATATCCCGACTGTCATTGTTTTGGTTGGACTGCCTGCAAGAGGAAAGACATATGTTGCAAAAAAATTGGGACGATATCTAAACTGGATTGGGATTAAAACAAAAGGTTTCTGCTTAGATATTGCATTGTTGGAAATTATTTACTTACATGCAGTGCTGTAGAAGCTTTAGGGAGGGCGGGGGCAAATATTCATCCTATTCCTGATTGTGATATTGATTGCTTTTACCCTGAAAATGAATATATGAATATACCCCTTCCCCCAATTAAGCTTCTAGCTACGGCCCTGTTTGCTTTGAACCAGAAAAGGTGCTTCAAGTAAACAGAGATTGTGATTTCATCAGTTGACCTGAATGTACTCCAAAAGATTGATTTTGTTTGCAATATATTATGCGTTTGCATAAAGTGTATTTTTTTCCATAAGTCTTCAATGTCGGGGAATATCGAAGAAATGTTGTTGGAGCTGATAGAAAACATGACTTCTTTCGTGCAGATAACACTGAAGCTATAGAAATACGCAGGTATTAAAGATAAATCGTTAATGATAATATGAATTAAGTCCATGCAGTTTACACTGTTGTCTGTGTCACAGCTGGAATCCTTTAGGGGTTAAATACATTTGTATTTAAAGTTTTTAAAGGGTCTTAATTTTGAGTGGAAGCATTACACAACTCAATTCAAGCCAGGAAAAGTTATTAAGACCCTTTAAAAACCTTTAGAATTTACCTACTTCGAGTGAAGTGCCACAAAGTGTAACATTTATATTTAATTATATTCAATTTATAATTATATTTGGAATTGAGGTATGCAGAATAGTCTAGGAGGAGTACGGTATGCACCCCCACTGAAAATCCGTCTATGCTACGGTAGTTTGAGGTTTTAATCTGAAAGTAATACACATGTTTCGCGTACTAGACGATGTGCTATGGACGCGTTAAAGGATGTCGCTCGGTGGTTTTCAAATCGTGAAGGATTTGTTGCGGTGAGTTATTAAATGCATGCAAAGGTGCAGATTTTAGAAATTGGAGTTTGATTTCCACTGTATCATATGATTGCAACTGGCAAAAAACAAAATTTTGATTATAACCTGCGATAAAAACAAGTAAACAACAGCTTTCACTTTCTGTTTAAAAAATCTGCGTGAACAGCGGGTGTTCCACGGGGTGACATTGCCTATATTTAATAGCTATATACCACCGACGGGTTTAATGATTGTTTTTAACAATTTATTTACGTAAGATATTCGATGCAACGAACACAACACGGGAAAGGCGTAAAATGGTTCTGGATTTCTGTGAAGAACGCGGTTATAAGGTAAGGAAGCGCGACAGAAAGACGCCAGGCGCGACCAAAAGGCGCCAGGCGCCACAGAAAGAGGCCGAACTAGGCTTTTGGCGCCAAGCGCGACAGAAGAGCTGTTCTAATTACTACCGCCCTTTTTGTTGTTCTAATACGCTCGTGATTGGTTATTCTGAAAGAGTTATCGCACTTGATTGGTTCATATTTTCTTGGAGGTGGCGGTGGTGGAAGTAGCAAACTAGCAATCTCCAGCCAATACTATATTTTGTTTATAAATTTTCTTTAGGTTTTCTTTATCGAATCAGTTTGCGAGGACGCCGAGATTGTCTCCGAGAATATAAGGGCAAGTTTTTGATGCCGACAGCCTACTGACGTTTTTCGCTAAATTATTCTCAGAATTAATCACAGAGATACAAAAGCTTGCTTCGTATCCTCTGCAGTGTCGGATCATTTTTAACTTGGTTTACGATTTCGGGAAAAATTCCATGTGCAGTAAATCGTAAATACACAAATTTAATCCTGATTGATTGACTGATTTAGGTTAACCCTAATCCTAAATCTAACCCTAATGCTAACCTAATCTGAGAGATTAAATTCGTGTATTAAGGATTTACTGAACGTAGAATTATTACCAAGATATCTGTATCTTTAAGCATGAGGACGATTCTGAGGCAGAATAATTAATGTTTAGGAGGTGAAGGTTTTCAGTCCGGACTACAAGACAATGCAGAGTGACGAGGCGGTCGAAGATTTCAAAAAACGTATTGAACATTATAAAGCAACATACGAACCATTATCAGTGGAAGCAGACGAGTAAGGAATCTTTCACCGATTTTCACCGTTTGCTCTGTAAAAAGGCATATATCCAATACCCTACTATATACCCAATACCAACACCTTCAAACTGCCGTATCTTCATACGAGGACAACTTTATTGTACAAATATCTCGGAAATGTGGACATCTTTCTGAAAAAAACAACTTTTGACAACAAACATCACCTATGTATCGCACACATGCAGCACATCTCACGATCATGCACCCATTCTCAAAGTAGCATGCATGCTCTCTATTATGATATCCGCTATTATACACCACATTTGGCATTAACCACCTGCATTAACTACCCTGCTCTGTCTTATGTAGGCAGTTATCGTTTATAAAGAATATAAATTGTGGTCAACAGTTTGTCGTTAACAGGAGCCATGGTAAATGTATTCATGGTTTAATTAGAATATATACGCAGAATGTTGTTTTCAGATTTCCAAATACATACCATGCATAAAATCTTGCCTGCTTACCACTGCTTACCAATTTTGTCGGGTCTGTTTCGCATTGCAAGTGAGCAGACAATAAAGCATCCATCAAAAGTTAATAATTCTATCCGACAAAGTGGATAAAACACCTTTCTACGATAGAGTGGAAATCCGGCGAAAACTTTGTCTTGAGGATGCTTCCGATTTTCATCCCTTTGCATACTTTTCTAGGCTATGTCCAAAGTCGTGTCGTCTATTATCTCATGAACACTCACGTTCAACGAAGATCTATATATCTTACAAGGGTATGGTAGATTTTTTTGGTGTGCTGCTGGTTAGTGGCAACAGAGGTCTTTGGCGAGCAAAGCGCATTTACTCTGGCTAATTAGAATATGACCCTGTGAACCTCATATATAGTATATAAACCTGGGTAAGGTCTTTCGTAACCGTTCACAGTAAGGCTCTGTATATAATGATAAAAACTTCTTTCTTAAGCACGGAGAAAGCTTGTATAATCTTGAACAACGAATTGGGGGCAATCCAGACCTAAGTCCAGGTGGTAAAGAGGTACAGTAAACTAGCTTTTTAATCATGGCAGCATTGAGCATTGTTAAAATCGTGAGTGCGGAAGTGGTTCAAATTTTGGTATCAATTCAAATTTGGGGAGATCATGCATGTGTATGAAAAATCAGTGCCCATTATGTGTGTGGGGGGGGGTGGTGCTCTGTATCTACCCGTGGTGCTAAATCCTTTTATATTGATTTCAGTTTGCGATGAGACTTGGTGAGTATATGAACAAGCAGAAGATTCCAAACCTTAAGGTATTGTAGATTGTGATAAGATTTGCCAATCAGAATGGTCTAAAGTACCCAAATTGTAATCCCCAATCCCCAAAATACCCAAATCCTTATTATTTTGTTTCTTACTTACGTGGTCGTTGTATAATTAATTGGGATTAGTCCAAGTTGTCACTCCTGGATTCCTTGATGTTTTCAGGTGTGGACAAGTCAACTGAAGAGAGCTTTTCATACGGCTGAAAGTATCGATGCCCCCATTGAACAGTGGAAAGCCTTGAATGAATTAGAAGCGGTACGTTTTATTTTCGTCAAACAAGAGTTTTGAAGAAGCGAAGGGCTATGAATTTTTAAATACCCTATTGCTACCAGAAAACCCCCGAAAGAGATTTCCCCCTACCTCCGAAATTGGCTGGCTAAGTTTCAGATATTATTTTCCCAGGGCATATTTGACGGTATGACGTATGACGAAGTGCAGGAGAAATATCCCGAAGAACATGACCAACGGTATCAAGATAAGTTTAAATACAGATCACCGCGAGGAGAGGTTTGTATAACAACATTTTAAGAATGAGGTCTATTATAGTTAAATCAAATGCTCCTTTTTTGCGGGCATTGCTGATTTTTGTTGTACTTGCTCTAAAGGCTGTTTAAAGGTTTATTGTTAACATCTTTGATTAAAACAGAGCCTTGATTGGCTCTTAGTAGAACCAATCCAATTGCTCAGAATATTTTAAAGATTACTCTTTGCTACAATCAACGTATCAGAGCCTTAGAAGAGCTAAACCCACTATACTTGAGAAAGAACATGTCTCAATTTGCAATTTCTTAACTTTGCAACGTTATTAATTGTATTTAGTCGTACAATGATCTGAAGGTGAGATTGGAGCCAGTTATTATGGTAAGTGCATCTGTGCATTTCCAGATTTTGTGCCGATCGGATAGCGTCAGAAAAGCCTGCTGTATGTAGCTATTTTGCTTTTATTGTTCTTTAGGAGCTTGAAAGACAGCAGAATATACTTGTTATTTGTCATCAGGTGCGTTGAATTTTTCAGAGGTCTTAGGGCCGAAAGTAGATCTGACCCTCACCTCAACCCTCCATATTATGTCGGTGTCCAAATTAAGAACCCCCCACCCCACCCATGCAAGAATAAATATGTCTAATCACGTACCACACATTAAATACCATTGTAAACAAGAAATCTCTTTGGGTATGAATGAAGAGACGATTAAAACTTTTTTTCCTTTTACCAGGCAGTTCTTCGAGTTTTACTTGCATATTTTTTGGATCATCCCTCAGGTTAGCTCCCGTACCTCCGCTGTCACGATCGTGGCGGCGTGTGTTTTGCAGTCAACCATCCAAGTATACCATATAAAATTCATAAATTCAGTTAAAGCTCATGAAGTTTACATTATCTTCGATTTTTTACTACGGCTGTCCTAGGTTGTATATGTTGTCGTAATAATTTCGCCTGGTGTTCTTGTAGGACCGGTTTTGTAAACCTCGTAAGATAAATTTAAACTTATCTTACGAGGTTTACAAAACCGGTCCTAGAAGAACAAAATCGAAAGATTACCATAACTGGAATTGCATATTCATTCATTCTCTCGTTGTTTGTTCAAGTACTTTTGATTTGATCGTGTTTATTCTGATAAGTTTAATTCTTGTTTTGCACACAATTCATTCTTTATTTCAAATTATCTTGTATATAGATCAGTTGCCATACATGAGAGTCCCTCTTCACACTGTATATAAACTTACACCCATAGCCTTCGGTAAGTTTTGGATATTAGAATTAGTATATGGTAGCCCCCTTTGCCTTTCATTTTAATGGTTATATTCTATATCCAAAGTAGAAGCGAAGAAACAGAAATGCGAAGTTCAAGAGACGATGTTTTTCAAATATTCTTTACCGTTTATCTAACCATAAACGAGATTTAATTAATATAGACTTTTCTGGCCCCCATATTACCATTTACGCATACTGGGAGTACTGCAACTTATATATTACGTTTTAAAAAATATTTCAAAATGGTGTATAACTTGTGATGTTTATAATGTGAAATCACTAAAATGGTTGTCATTTCAGGATGTCGTGTAGAAAAAATTGCTATTGACGTTGATGCTGTGGACACACACGTTCCTCACCCCAGCAGGGTAAACATATTTTGTTACTTATGCATAGTGAAGCGTTAATATAGGTATATGCACAGGGTTGCTCATCAGTCCTACCTTAGGATTTATTGAACATCGCCGGGTTTACTGCATTTACGCATGCACAAACATCTCCTCTAAAAGATCGACCACTAGCTAAAAAACAGAGACAACCATTTTTACATTTCTTCCTTTTTCAAGGCAAGCAAGGGAGAAGAGTCGCCGCTTAGCCAGAGCCTATCGACATAGACTGAAGTTAGCTATCCACCGTGCAGTTATATAGATCATGTGAACTAAACGTATTTAACCAATCTGTGCTTGTGTAAAATTAATGCAATAATGCTATTTTATAAAATATAATCCGATATCTCTAAAAATACACAGCAAGACAACTATATAAAACATTTTAATAGCCCTATTTATCAGAAATATATATGAACTGCCTGATTCATCGCGTGTAAAAATTACATTTTAAAATAAAAATTATTTTTAAGCACTAAAACATAAATGTGAGTTAGCTTTTAGAATACGGTGGTAAATAATTATGAAATGAATGGCATACCTACTTAAATGAAAATGGCACTGACCTATACTAGAAAATGGTCATCATCATCCATTGTCATCATCATGAGAAGACTATCCAGTTTATCCAGATCAGTGAATTGAACTTTGCCCTTTGTCTCTTGTTTATTAAAAATTCTGTAATTGTCGTAATTGTCTTTGGTTCGAACGTCACATATAAGAGTTTCAAATTTTTACATTTTTTCACTGCACATGTTACCGTTTTTGTGAAGCATGGCTTTGGAATATTTGGAAGCCTATTGGGAACGATTTCTAGGCATCGTAGAGCCTCATTTGCCTGAATATTTACACTGGAATGAAATATGTGTAAGTATATGTACATCCTATATATAAAATGATTCCATATAGGCATACTAATGATAATACGATTTTACTTTTTTTCAATACGTGTACATCAACTGTTTAAATATAGTACTTTGACACAAGGGCCGCCAGCTTTGTGTGATAAAATTTAATTCGACGATCGTAATGCGTAATTAAATAAAAACAGGTTATTTTGCAAATTTTGGTTAACCTGTCATGTGATGTTCTGTAACCATTTGATTAAAGTTGAGTTCACCCAATCGCTCTGGTTTTTGTACTTTTGAATTTCTTTTTGTTGAAAACAAGTCAGCTTGGCAAGCAGGCCATTGTGTAATTGTTTTGAGAATAACCCCATATGGGCAGCACATTTACATTGACAAATATTCTGGATTTTCTATCTTTATACTTGCTTGTGCTGTTGTGCAACAAGTTGAAAAATTAAAATTTGACTGGTTTTCCTCTCAGGGTTTATTTTTTATCCTATAGAAGCATTCATCCATCCACTCTGATTTATTAATTACATTACAACAACATATACCCAGGGAAGCATTACCAGATTTTGAACAAACCTCTCATTAATGGAAATTTCAAATTTTTTTGCAAATACATAAATAAAGGGAATTTGACTTGGCAAGGCAATATGTTGATTGGCAGTTTGAGCCTCGAATTTTTTTTCCATAATATGTGTATATAGTTTCCCATTTTTGACTATATATCTTACCCTAAATGATGCTCAATTTCCTTACACTTATTAAATTTGTAGTGGACATTTGTCTTTTATCTTGCCGAAGCCAGGAGACACATACACCGGTGGTGTCGTGGCTTGGATTCCTGGGAGGTATAGAAATTTTCATATTACAGCAGGTTTTAAAATTTGCAGAATTAATGGTGCTGGATATCATATCATGTGCATGAGCATATAATACACTGCGAGTCTATTGAGTAACTATTCGACATACATTAAAATAATTGATAGTAAGATGTAATAGTAAGATGCTGTGCTATGCAGGTAGAGGTGACTTAATGCCTTATGACAGTTATGTATTTTTGATGTTATTTAATATCATACCGTTTGATTGTTCTTGTCTAGATTGTGGTAAACACTGTACTTGTTTGTCTGGGTGTCTGGTTTACTGTTGAGATATTACGCTGGTTATATTCCTGGATATTTTGTCAAGATGAAAGTAAGTTTGCAGGGCCGTAGCTAGAAACTTAATTAGGGAGGGGGTGTATCTTCATAAATTCATCTTATGTGGCTTAAAAGTTTGATGACATATTTATTAAAGGGGTCCCTGATATTGGGAGATTGATGATCCTCACCTAATTCTGCTTCATGATCAATTCTCATCTTGGAAATATATTTCTCAGTTTTTAATATATCCGAATGACATTAATCATTCAATTAGGTGCTCATCAAGCATTTATCTCTGTTAGGTTTTTTAACAAGAGTCAAAAAAGGTTTTTTCAAAAATGTTCGCCGTATTCCCATCATAAAGGATAAGGTACCAGTAAAGTAATTATACAAGTTGTAAAAACACCTTTTCTCTCCGAAGTTTAGTTGCTCTGATAATGGAAAAATAAAAAATATCACCTATAATAACTGCAAAGCAATGATACCAAACCAAGTAAACAAACCAGCTGCAAACCTGCTCCCAACAGCAACTTCCCTCCTCCTGCATGCTGCTGAATATTAAGCCCTATGCATGACGTTTCCACATTTTATTCATTTTTGTATTTAATATGTATGTAAAATTGATACCACTCCTGGAATAAACTCGACACTCGTCCATTTCTTTGCTTATTACGGGAAAATACAAAATGTCATATGGACTGTATTTTCCTGATATTTTACAAAACTCAGGGTGATGCTTCCAGCTCTACCAATTTAAACTTTTCTCAATACATAACCAGTCCATTCACTGTGCTTTTCCCTCAGATAAATGCAGAATTGGAAAAGACAAAGGGAGAGATGCGCCAAGCCCTGACAAGCGGTGATTCTGGTAGCTATTACACTAAGGTAAGCTCTCGCTCCATTTTTGTTAGGCAAAGTCGCTATATTCAGTGGGATGCCCGGATACTGCTACAGACTCTTTGTATCAAGAAATTTGAAATAAATAAGATATTCCCAAAGATTAGGCATAACTTTAAAAAACACAGCTTATGAATAATTTGCAACCTACAGAATTTGGTTATTGTTTTTCTGCCTGAGAATTCAGAGTGACAAAAGTACACGTATAAAAGACGGCAAGTAGAAGACCATTATAAAAGCGAATATTTTTAAATTATAGCCTAAACATTAAAGTAAGAATAAATTATACTTATCTAAAAATGTCTTTCAAATGTTTTCGTTTGTAAATCCAACGTTATTTTCGTTTTATATACGAACCAAAGACCATATGTATTTTCACAACAACAACAATGAAAATGGCGGGAAAAACTTGACATACGAAAAATATCCGCACTGAACCCGGATGTAGTGCCGTATGAATTCTACGAGTGTTTTAGTTCTCAGTAAAATACCCCCATCCATATAATAATTAGATATAAGAGACCCTAGGCTGTCAGTACAGGTGTAAAAGTATTATATATTATAATTGTTCCCATACATGAATGCATGCATGATATCTATTTTATCAGGAAACTATTTTTTAACTAGCTTCCAAATAAAGGAATGGGCCAAGAGGCCTTGATGAAGGAAATAGACAAATATGAGAAGTTGGGTAAGATTTTGTGTGTAGACACCCCCTATGCATTACCTCCTAATTTGGCCCTTCTCTAATATAAACATCTTAAGAACATCTCCATAGTTCTGATATCCCCATACGATCATCTTTCAAATATGAACCTCTCTAATGCACACACCTCTCTCAAACACAGACCTCTTTATTGCACACCTGTCTCCATGACCGAACTCTCTAATGCATGAATCTCTCTAATACACACCTCTCTCCAATAACACGGCACGGTCTACTTTGATCTCTAGCAATAAAGAGTAAAAATACTTATTCCATGATAACTAACGGTGTGACTACCCTGCTTCAGGCAAAATTGACTGGAACGCGGGCAAAGTATCTGGTACGGTTTATCATGGCGGGAAGGAACTGACTGATATTTTGACAGAGGTGAGTGTACATATTTATACCATTACCGATTTTCATAGTGATTTTAGTTCTCTCGATTCCAGATGCTAGTGCTAATTCCCAGAACTGTTTTTTTCTTGCTTTTTTTTAGGCATACAAACGTTTCACATGGGCAAATCCACTTCATCCCGATGTTTTCCCAGGAGGTATAAACTATTGATAATTTCCAAAAGTCGGTAACAGTTGTGGATGGATGTTAAGTTTAGGAATTTCTTGAAAATTTAAATAGCAAGCAACAATATATAAATTATTAGTTTGTAGGTACCACCCATATCTATATCACTGAAAAACGTTCTAAATGAGCCAAAATATCTATTTTTCAGTAAACTCAAAGATCCCCGACGGTTTAGGGTGTTACCACCTAACCCAATCTAAGAGCTTATAGTATAAACCAGCAACCATATCGTTTTAGTTCGTAAAATGGAGGCAGAGATCGTTCAAATGTGCGTGGAAATGTTTAACGGCGGCCCTGACGCTTGTGGCACGGTAAGGATGAGTTAGTCATTTGCCTTGCAATAAACTGGAGTGGATTATAGAACTTGTCTGTACCAGTAATTAAGAGAACATGCGCGTTTCTTTCGCAGACCACCAGTGGTGGAACAGAGAGCATTCTTTTAGCTTGCAAGACATACCGCGATTGGGCCAAGGAGGAAAAGGGAATAACTAAACCAGAAATGTAAGGGATTTCGTCAAGATATAATCATACTGCATAGAAAATTATTTCAAAGTACGCTCTTTCTCGCGAGTGGTGCAAACTTCAAAATAACAGGGCGGAAAACACGCAAATTTTGCAGGAAAGTCAATTTTTAATACTGGAAACGAAATATAGCGATTTTCAGACCGAGAGATGAGATTTTGTAGAATTTTTTCATTTTTCTTTTTTAAAGCGTTGCTCCTGTCTCCGTTCACGCTGCATTTGAGAAAGTAAGTAGATGTGTTTGAAATATATTTTCTCTTTCAAATTCAGTGAACAACAGGTCTAAATTGAAGTTTCTCCATCCTTTTAGGCTGCAGCTTATTTTAAAATGAAACTCATTTTGGTTCCAGTGGATGAAAAAACACGAAAGGGTGATGTCCGAGCAATGAGACGAGCTATCACAAAGAATACAGTTTTAGTAAGTGATGTTTGATAAAAATAACATTTTGGTGATTGGAGGAAAAACCCTGCAACCTCACATTGGCGGTTGATCTTTAACTCAGACCGTTTGACCATAGAGCCAGAGCTTAATCCTAGCCAAAAATAATCTTGATCCTTACCTAATGCCAATCTTAATCCTTTGAACCTAAGAGCCTTCGTTCACCTCAAAAAACCTTGAACATTTTAGAAAATACATGTGCGAAAATGTGATTGTTGTGAAAATGTGACTCTTAATCTTAATCCGACTGTAATCTAAATCTTACCGTAATCCTAATCCTACTGAATCCTAATCTCTTCGTAATCCTAATCTTAATCCTACCGTAATCCTAATCTTAATCGTAACTTTCTAAAATGTGACGCATTATTGTAAATTGTAATTTCATTGTTTTTTCGTAGTTGGTTGGTTCATGTCCATCCTTTCCTCACGGCATTATTGATTCTATAGAGGAAATTGCTAAGGTGTGTTATCTCGAATCAACTTCAACAAAAATGATCGTAATATCCTCTCTTGTAATTCCTTTCTTCGAAATTTGTATCTAAAAAGCGGGCTTACATTGTTGAAAAAGGTTAAAAGAGGTTGCATGTATAGTAAAAAAGATTTTCAATACAAAAGCTAAAGCTAAAGCTTTTCTTATTCAATCAGAATATATTCTTTTGTTCCAGCTCGGTAAAAAATACAACACTGGTGTTCATGTCGATTGCTGTTTAGGCGGGTTTCTTGTCCCGTTCATGAAAGAAGCAGGGTAAATACAATCGGTTTTTAGTTTATTACGAACACGAAAAGTTGTTTGGACAAGTTGCATTTAAAAATCTTACAATTTTGTCTTGATGCAAGCCACTTTAAGAACATTTATTCGGGAGGATTTGTTTTAAAAATTTTGGTGTCATTTTCAAAGTATTTTTTCTTGAATTTCCTATGTTTATTTTTCAGTTTTCCGTTGTCGCCCTTTGATTTCTCAGTGGATGGCGTGACCAGTATTTCTGCCGACACTCACAAGGTAACTCAAAATTTTAACTCTAATGAGGGAATGTTTCTTCTATAAGCTTAAATATTTCTTCAGTGAAGAAAAAAACATCTCTTTTATAATGAAAGTTATCTGAGTATATGCTTCAGCCCCAAACACATTTACTAAAGTGTTTACACGCTTTGAGTTCATCATCTTTGTACAAACTTTATTTTCTGGCATTTACCAGTACGGTTACGCTCCCAAAGGATCATCGGTCATTCTGTATCGTTCGCAAGAATTACGTCATCACCAGTTTTTCGTTTCGACCGATTGGACCGGCGGCATCTACGCGTGTCCCACAATCCCTGGCAGTCGTTCTGGCGGGGTTATCGCCGGATGTTGGACGGCTATGATGTACATGGGTCAGAAAGGTGGGTGTTGTGAAATTACCTAAATTACAGTTACCTAATCAGAAACTATAAATATTGATTACTTCCAGTAAAAAGGTACATTATTGACCGTTTTACATGAAGTATAAAAAAATTAGGAATTTTGATTGGCTTATAAACAAATAGGTCAATTAGTTTAAAACGAAATTCCTCCTTGTTCATGCAGGGGACTGCTGGTAAGGAAAGTCCACATTTAGCGGCAAAATCTAGCATTCGTGGAGTCCGCGCTTGTGCTTCTTTCAATATAGATCTATTTCATATTTATGTCTAGGTTATGTTGACTGTACCAAGAAGATTATTGAAACACGTCAATATATCGAGGAAGGGTAAGACTGTAATATATTGCATGTAATTTATTTTTTTGGGGATTTTCTCGATTCTGGTTGGGTAAACACCAGAAAATTATAAACATCATAAAAATACTCTCTTGCCCTTTTAGTGTCTCGTTTTTCCGAAATCCAAACATGATTTTAGAATGAACAATTGAATCAGCATACAATAATCTTGCTGTTTATTTGCAGAATTCGCAAAATCAACGGCGTCTTTGTTTTTGGAGAACCTGAGGTATCTGTGGTCGGCATTGGATCAAACGATTTTGATGTATTTGCTCTGGGTAACGAGCTCACCGATAAAGGATGGAATCTGAACTCATTACAATTCCCCTCCGGGTATGACGACTTTTGCTTCTATTTTGGTCGAGACTTAGGTTATATTTTCCTCCGGTTACTCCAAAGCTCGCATCTAAATTCCAAAGCATGAAAATTGTCAAATATTCCCCTTCGTTGTTATAATGACGTCTGAGGCAACTACAATCTATGGATTTAGTAGATTTGTTTCCTTTTAAACCTGACGTTTTAAAACTGTTTCGTGTTTTAATGTCTCCAGCTCTTGCGATGAACACGCATGCGACGTTGTTCGTTCTTTTCCCCCTTTAGCATTCATTTGTGCGTGACGATGCCTGTCACCCAACCCGGAGTCGCCGATGAGTTTATTAAAGATGTCAAAGAAGCCGCCGAAAAGATATTAAAGAGCCCGAAAAAGAAAACGACTGGAGGGGTAAAGTATATTTTAGTGAAATATTATTGCTTCGCAGTTCGCTCTTTAGTGTATCAAAACAACTTCGATATAAGTTGCAATTCGAAGTTTTTTTTCGTTAGAAGGTTTGTAAGGCATTGTTTACACTGTTCATGTGTTAATTCACAGTTAGAAATTTTCTTTGGTAAATCCCAAAATATTTTAGTTCTAAATATTTTGCATCGAGTACATCACGATAAATTAACTACTCATCGTTAACCACGCGCTGTTTTAGTTTCCTTGAATATTTTTACCAATTACTTTGAAACTTTGGATTTGAAAACGCGAACTGTGGTCACAGAGTTTGATGTAAACCGGGCCTAGCTTAAACATTGTTCTATTTTGTAATCAAAATTCATGATAAGAATGTATAGTAATAGACCTGGTTCAACACTGCCAAATTTTCTGCGATCACAAGTGGCATTTTTAAACGTCAATTCCTAAGTTTCAAAGTGCTGTGTCAAAAAAAGCTGACTGTACATCTGTTTTTTGTGTATACGACTACATTCAGTCACAATATTCTCCATTTGTATCGATGTATAGGGAATTTTGTATAATGTGACGTATCGTGTATTGTTAGGGAGCTATTTATGGCATGGCGCAGCAGATTCCAGACCGTTCTATGGTTGCCGAATTGGCTTGCAGTTTTATTGATAACCTGTATGCGACGGAGAAACCACCGCAGCTCATTAAAAATGGACACGCCAAGCAGTAGAGTATATTGTATATTTCCAATCATCTCCCAGTTTTAATATATATAATGAACTATTTCTAAGTCCAAGAGTCGCATTTTAAGAAGAATATCTTGTTAGGAATCATGACGAACCTCAGCAGTAGCGTGCAGGTTTTGAAAAAAGTTGCTCAATTGGAATAATTGTTAAAAAAAATTTATTTTATTTTCTATTAAATGGTCTAAATTAAAGTGTAATAGTTTTTACTTACACGTCTTTCTGTGAATAAAATTGTCATGCAAGAAAATGGCTCTGATTAGACGATGACATGCTCACTCCCAAGGATCTAGAGCAATCGATTTTCAGAAATATTCTATGTCCATAAAATTGAATTCTGCTGCAACAGATAACTGTACAGAAATAATTAGGTTCCAAAGGATTAAATTTGAAAAATGTTTCCAGCTTTGGCCACTCAATAGATGGGCACTCGTACGAATGCGATGCCAAAGTCTCTCAATATCAATCAACCAATAGCTTTGTTAATATTTCATATAAAATCTAGTTTAAAAGGAACAAAATTATACTACTAGCACTGATGGCCGACTGTTTAAGGCACAAGAATGGTGGTATAGTGGTTAAGACGTTGGTCTCTTAATCCAAGGACAAATATTTGACTTTTCACATACACGTTTGACATATCTGACTTTTTTATTTTACTGCAAAGCTGCAGTTTTAATGGCACTCTTGCCAATTTGTGTTCACAAGCTACATGCACCTACGCTGAACAATTGCATCGAATTGCAGAAAGGCAACAGGAACATATGTCTATATACTAAGACAGCTCGTCTATAATAAGAGCTAAAATTAATATAGGTTTAAAATTTTTGAAATGCTATACATCGCGCAATTATTTGATATTTATGCATAGTTACTAAATGTTTAATTAAAAACTAATTAAAACTAATTGAACTAATTAAAAACTACCTTAATGGGCTAATGGAAAAATATGAAAATATCTTAGGAACCGGTATATACAGTGCTCAAAATTGTCGTTTCCCACACTGAGTAACCAATTATTATGCCTTAATATTATAAGAGATGGGATTTCTAAACACTTGCCACATGCTATCATGTCCTTCTCGACATGCATTTATCTACGCGTTTCTGTATAAACTGATTTAAAAATGAAAATATGCATGTATATATACCAGTAGCAGATGTACAATTAGTTATTCTTCGCAAAATAATGTATACATTCTCATTGCGTTTTTCGTCTCCTCGTTTCCTAACCGATCGTATCGCTATGTTTAAAAAAAAAGTCTAATGTAATAGGGGTGATTCACCCTTGTAAGGCAGTTAAAGCTACATGTATACAAACTATGTTCATGTATTTCCATTATAGGCAAAAAGCACCTTAGTCTACATGCGACTTATGGGAAATGAATAAATTTTTCCCTCCGAAACACTCCGGCCTACTAATATATGCTATAGCTGCAGTGCGCACATGCATTTTTTAACTAAAAAATTAGAATGCATTATTCCCCTCCAGCTGATCTGAGTATAAAGCTCAACCAATCAGAAGCCAGATCTTCGACAAAACTGAATTATCATTTCCTTCATTGCATATGACTTCGACACTCGAATATATCAAGTAATTATTTATGTCAAAACACGTTTATTTTTTCCCAACTGTAAATTAGAATTTAAATTTTTTACCCTTTATACTATTAGTTGGAAGAATAGGGACAAATAACACCAGGAACGTGATAACTAAGTTTTGTCGAGACGCTTAACGACGTCATTATCTCAGATCAGCTGGCTGCTCTAATTGAGATTGGTTGACTAACTTAATAGACCTTTTTCATGATGACGTCAAACGCGGAAAGTCTGATGTTACACGAAGTTTGATTGGCTCGATAGTTTTGTGGAGCCAATTAAATTTCGTGTAACATCAGACTCTCCGCGTTTGACGTCATTATAAGAAAGGTCTATAGGGTCAATTAATGGCACTTAAGTCTATAATGGAAGTTGTGGATGAAAATATCGTTAGACCAGGTTGTGTTTATTTACATTATAGTCTTTTTTCAGTAGCCAATCATAATGCTTTGTATTTAAGAGATGGGATTTTTAAACACTTGCCACATGTACATGCCGTCATTTTTTTCTCAATTTGCATTTGTCGGGACACCTTATTGAATGACAAACGAGATCCAGTAAAAAAGCATACTTTATACGCAGCACTCTGGTGCCCGGCGGTCCTGTTAGAGAATAAACATATCATAACCTACAAGTAAGTTACCTATATACGCGTATACAATAATCTAAATGAGCGAAATCTTCAATCGTGTTTTCGCATCGGTTCTGCACAGAGAAACAACGCTGCATGCATGTCAATGCAGGGTCTGCTAATCTTAAAGTTAGCGTGTTTCTGATATTTCTAAACACGAATAAATATATAGATAGAAAGGCAAAAATGTTCTCCGTGTTTACCATATATACTTACCCTTGACGGGCATATTCAAACCTAAGAATGTAAATTTGTCCCTTTCCCTCACCAGATCACTCATTATACGAGTGCCTAGGCCTTGGGGCCCAAAGGCTAAGATACTCACGGAGGAAAGCTTTTATTTAAAGAACGTGTAGCGAACGAGCATAAATAAAACCGAAGTTAGCTGCATGGCACACTTTAGACCTGACGAGAGAACACTCGCTAGAGTGCTGTCGTAACAAATTTGTAGTTTTTCATGTGTAAATTTTTTATGTGTAAATTTTTTATGTGTAAATGTGTAATATAGGCGTTTTGTCATTTCGGCGATTTATATATTTATATTTAAACATTTTTTATGCATTTAGAAACGAAATTACTGTCTGCTGTTGTCATGAATTACCATAGAATTCTGTCTGTCTTTCTGCTGTTGCACTACAAGCAGATCTGTATTTCCTTGGTTTCACACGCTGTATTCCGATTGACCTTGTCAGGCAAGTGTTGCAGTCGTAATTTTAAAATTCATTATACATCTATATTAAGAGCTAGTTACTTGTTCCCTTTTTTTCTACAAGGCTTAAAATTGCTTGGTTAGCTCGTTTTAATTAGTTTATCTCCATTTCCAGTTAAACTGCATGACATTTTCATTGTTCAAAAAATTTACCTGCAAATAAAAGCATAATTTATCCTTTTCAATTTAATTTAGTGTGCATAAGGTTTAACAGGAAATTTAGCGAAGCAATTTGAACACAACTAATTTACAGCAAAAAACATCATGCCGTGAGCAACAGCTGCAATGCGCGCACTCAGAGGAATCGTTCAATCGTTGCCTGCGTCAGTGGCGTAACTAGAACGATGATTGGGGGGCGATAACAGACGTTCTTCAATATGTTCCTTATTTTAAATTTGCCGCAGGTCATCGCCTGGGTGGAAATGTCATCAATGAGTTTGACACACATGATGTTTTGGAATGTTGTCTACACTGTCTCAAAAAATCATCTGTGTGCAAATCAGTCAATTTTAAACGAAATTCAAAAAATTGTCAACTCAACAACGCCACGAAAAATACGCATTCTCACGAATTAATGTCCGATGAAGACTACGATTATTATGAACCGCTGAAAGAGGTAGGAAAGATATATTTGTGCGTATATTTATATTTTATGCGTGTATATTTGTGCGATATATATATAGTTTTTCAAATAAATATAAAAGTGGCTGCACAGTGTACAATACAGTTTCTTAAATTTCCCATGTATATATATAAGAAAAACAATTTAGTGTCAATTATTCTTACAAAAACATGCAAGTGCATGGTGACACGCCGGTGAAATTTTTACCAATATTTTTTTATTTTTATAGTTGCAGAGAACAATAAAACGAGATTCTACGTTAAATAACGGTAAGATTAAATACGATCAACCGAAGTTTTAATGAATGTCATACCTGGCATACTAATTTACTCTTCTATACATCTATAATTTCTTCTAAACATGCATATACCACTGCATGTCGTGACAGTGAATTTCCAGTTTTGTATACGGATGTGCCTTCAATGCCAATTTGCAATATTTGAATTATTTTTCATATTTTTCCCAGAATCTTGTGATACTTTGTACAAATCAGGCAAGGTAACTACGGGCACTTATACAATCAACCCGGATGGTTTGAAAGATTTTGATGTTCGCTGTGATATGACAACCAGCCCAGGAAGAGGCTGGACCATTTTCCAGCGACGTGTCGATGGATCAGTCGACTTCCACAGAAATTGGTCTGATTACAAAGTTGGTTTTGGTAATTTGACTGGTGAATACTGGTTAGGTCTTGACAAGATCCATCGTCTGACAGCTAGCGGGCAGAATACATTGAGAGTTGATCTCGAAACATTTGAAAATGAGACAGCGTACGCAGTTTATGAATCGTTTACTGTGGCGAACGAAAGTCACGGTTATCGCCTAAAATTGGATAATACTTCATTCACAGGTAAAACACACAGATATATAAACAAATAATGTAAAAATTTACTTCATTTATATTTTTCATTGCATTTATACAACGACGGATGAAATACACAAGAACAATGAATAATTATGTTTCTCAGGCTAAGCTAAACATGCAGAATGCCTAAATTATTTATAAACTTCATGTAAACTGATCGTTCTTATTCTCACCTGCGGAGTTTGAATAAGGTTCACAATTGTAGAAATATACCACCATGACAATGTTTAATTACTGTAAATCTGATATAATCAAGCAATATATAACAGTTCATTCAATCTCAGAATTACAATGAAAGTTTTAGGATTATTTTAATGAAATTTTATTTCACATGCAGGTACTGCCGGAGATTCTCTCGAAGGAAACAGTGGGATGAAGTTCACCACTCAAGATGTTCACAATGACTTTTTGCCGAAAAACTGTGCTAAAGAGTGGAGTGGTGCTTGGTGGTTTCGTAGGTGCGGTGCTTCAAACCTGAATGGGAAATATTCAAAGGCTCCGGAAGACGAGTTGGCTATTGGTATCCGTTGGAGAAGATTTAAAGATAATTTTTCTTTTAAAGTTGCTGAAATGAAAGTCGGACCTGGTGATGTCTAAAATAAGGGTCATAATTCAAGACATTTCCGGCTAACCGGATGTTGTATACTAAAGTGATGTTACGTAGTATTTAAAACACGAGTATAGGAGTGTGTTAAATCGCTCGGCTGCGCCTCGCGTTTTATACCGCATAAAACACGAGCTACGAGTATTCAATAGACGTTGCGACTAATCGGATTGAACATGAACTTTATATAAAGCCACATGTGTCTTTATATAAAACAGTGTCCTGATAGTGCTTTATCGAGTATAAAAGCCTACTCACGTGTTTAAAAAGGTTCATTGGATTGGTCAAAACGTCTATTGAATATTAATGAGTATCTTAAATAAATATAACATATTTAATCATCATTATTGTTTAATAATTTACTCAATGCATGCAGTTATCATTTCATAATTTACTCGACCGTCGGTCAGTGACATATGATGTATAGCATATAGTTTTATAGTATAGTATAGTATAGCTTTATAGTAAAACATTTGATAGCTCTTAGAAGTAAAGTATGTATAGCTATAAGTCTCCTGAAGTTTGTAATAAAATTTGAAAAAATCAAACTTTAATATACTAAGCTTTGCCTTTGTAATGTATAGTTTACTTATAAATTTAAAGTTCGTTTTCAAATGAGTGAAATGTTTATACGGTAACGCAGTTATGCATGCATGTCGTGAATATGCATTCAGACCATAAACATTACATGCATGGTGCTAAGTGCTGAACCGGTTTCAAAAGAGGTCCAATTTTAGACGTATGTGTAGATCATGATGCTCTTCAAATTATGAAAAATTTATATGAAAATATAGCTATTTTATAACTATAACTTCTTTAGTAGGTATATATCTTTATGTGCTTGTCCCATGATGTACTGTTGACAAAAAGCAGCGAGTGGCTTTAGCACAGCTAAAATTTGAAGGAATCTCGAAGACGCCCTAAGCAGTGGTGTGATTCACTCTATCCAATCAACGTTGTATGTTACAAGTGTGAGTTGGCGTTAGAAGCTCGGTCCAGCTCTCGATTTTGTTTACTTAAGGGCGTTGACGCACTAGTCGAGTTGGTCTTTTGCTTAATCGATCATTGTTAAAACTTGTTCACAACTTAAAATATTTATCATCAACTAAAGTATAATTACCAAATTATTACTCTGTGAACCATATTTCAAACTTATAAACTATTTTACTAATAATTTTGCTTAGTGTAAGTGCTTAACCGAGCAAAATATAACAAAGAAATGATCGTTTTATCGTTATGAGTAATAAACGGTGTAATAGGTTCGTATAAAACTGTTAAAGTATTGGATTCCCTTGACCTAACACAATTTGTTTTGCGAGAACAATATACATGGTGTCTAAAAAAAACGCAAAATGCTAAAAGTCATTTTAGATGAACTATGGTGCAAACATGAACAATATTAATATTCTTGCATATTTAAGTGGTTGCGTTTTTTTGAGACACCCTGTACAGTATGATTATTGACATTATATGCATAAATTAAGTGGAAACACGGACCAGGCGACAAACCTAAAAATAAGAAACACGTTGTTGTAATTAAAATCAGGAGTTTTACGATGTAGAGTATTAGGCCAAAGAAATCAAATAAATACTTAGATATTATATGATATTTGGAAAGTCTGTATGATGATAGCTCTGCATCGCTGGTTGTTTAATTCTGGCGAGCCACAATTAAAATCGAGAGAAAACTTCCATTCCATCGAAAAGTTTAGCCTGGTACGTGAAAAACACAACGGGCGTTCTGTTTCAATGTAATATATTTCAGAAGTATCATAAATACTATTACTACCAAAACAAATCGATAAAAATTGGAAGTCGCATCTGATATACCCGAATTTCAAAATTTTCAGTTTGAAGCTTGTCCCTATAACCCCCCAAAAATGCTTCATCCCCGCTCTCTTTTTTCAATTGAAATCCAATGAACTCGTAGTCGTGGTATTATTTTTATTTAATTATCATCTACTTATAATTTATTTAAATCAACATTAGAGGTGACTTTTTACACTTTTTGTCTCATAAATTGCTAGAGTTATTACATTAGGCTTGTTTCTTTTTAACCTGCATCCTTTTGGCACAAGCACCCAATAAACAGTAGCACAAACGTAGTAATAATAAACTATGAGACATTACTACAAGAATAAGAAAGATAAAGACATCAAACATGTGTAATTTATACTGTGGTAAATCAATAGCTTCGCTTGTGAGAAAAGAGGCTCCATCATGACGCAAAGCATATTCGATCCAATCCGCACCTTCCTGGCTTGGGCTCTGCTTTCTATCCTTCATTATTGTTGAGAGTCCTTTGACATTCTCCACATACAACTTGTTACTCAACACCTCGTTGATAGCATCTCCCAATATTTTGCGATTGGCGATTATATCCGTCCATTGGATAACCACACCAAGCCCTTTATGTTGTATCAAGTCTGCCTGTCGGTATTGGTCAGCCATCATTGGTATGACAACCATTGGCACCCCATGGTACACACTTTCCTGATAGCTATTCAACCCACCATGGGTGACAAAAACCTTGGTGGATGAATGCCCTAATAAGTCGTTGAACGAAAACTCGTTTTTAGAAAACCATTGAATTATCTTGATATTTTTACCAATATTTTTCGGCATTTCACCAGAGTATTTCCATAAAACAGCAGTACGAACCTGGCTCAATTCATCAGCGATAGTCTGGGCAAGGCCTGGTGGATAGTTCGAGTAAATTGTGCCAAATGAAACTATTACAACGACCTTATTTCATTCATAAACTTATCCAAATGCTCCGGAAGTCTCCGAGCAGGCTCCGATAAAAGTGCACCGATAACTTTGATATTCGCCCCAAGAGGGCGCGACTGTTCGAGTGCAAAATCGTGTGGGACGAGTTCAATACCGTGCGTTCGGCGTGCGATTGTGGAGCTCGGGAATTTCGAGTTCGCTTTGCCGTACTTTTCCCAGAGATCTTCTATTCGAGAGTTATAGTAGGTAAGAATATTCCAAAAGCAGACACAGGTCACAAAACCTTTCAGACGGTTCATAAATGAAAATTTACTCTCGCTTGGCAAGTGTATTGAAGCTCCCAATGTCACATATACTGATGCCTGAGGATAATCAGATAGGTATACGCCAAACAGATTAAAAAATCCTAGAATGGACACGTCTACGCGGCTTACATTCAACATATCAGCCAGAATATGGCAACATTGGTTTGTATTGTCACACAGCACTAAATCAACGGATGATTTGAGTTCTGAAATCAAGCTTCCGTGTTTTAAAAAGTCCTCACAAGCCTGTCGATGAATCCGCTGGATTTCTGACGCTATCGTGGTCACACCTTCAAACAGTCGGGAAAGGTCCTTGCCGAAGTTTCCTGCGCTCGCGTAACGTAAACACAGAGCCATATTGTCCTTGTTGGTCACTGACGAATTAAACATTACCACGTTAACATCATCGAAGGTTTCCTGTGCAAAATTCGGTAAAATGTGAGTGTATTTGTGGCCCCTTGTCTGGAGCTCTTTGCCAAGTTTCCATAACATTCTGTGATGACTGACATAGTTTAACGATGCGAAGCCAACTATATGTGCACATTGTGTTTGCATGATGAACAAATGTACGCATATTAGGATTAGGCAAGGTACACGGACAGATAGAGTGTAGGTGTAATTCATAATAAAAACCTGCGCGAATTGACGAGGACCAACTGCACATATGTCTCTCCTATTACCGTAGGTAGATAAAGAAAAGTATGTAAATTAACAATCAACAATAACAATATGGCAGTATAGATGTTCGTCATACAATGCCATGGTAACAAAGCCATACGCATGGCCCGAGTACACCATACCGGATTCGCTGGTCACGACATTTTCGTTTGCTGCCAAAAACAACAATTGGCAGCAATGCCTTTTGGTGAAACAGATTTGGTACATTTCTTTGTGTCTCCGGCATTTAAAACCTCATAGCTTTTCATTTGCTCACAGAATTTTCTTGAGACGAGAGAAATTAATATTCGGAGTGATGCTAAATGTGATAAAATCACAAGTGGTACTTGAACATTATATATTTTAGATATCACTGATCAGCTGAGTGTAACTTTGGAATGTAACTTCGGAATTTCGCAAGAAACCAACACTGAGCTCAAAGTACATAAGATTTTAGTTCCCTAGAGCCAATCGTATTCAACGGCCGGTTGTACAGGGTGTATCCTAAAACACATTAAATATTCCGATTTTTTGTGAGAGAATAGGAAACGGATATCATGAATATTTAGTATTGCTTTTTTATACACCTTAACATTCACCAAAGGCTTTAACGAACGTAAATTCAGTTATGTAAATTTCTAACGTATGAATTTGAATTGTGATTGGCAGCATTTGTAATACTAGTATATGTAAATGTTTATATGCGCATATCGTTTATATGTACTGTAGAATGTGCAAATTCTGAAGAATTTATTGTGCTTCAATTCGCTGATATCAATTTCGGATCGAACGTAGCTATGTCGGTACCTGTACAGGCCTAATCTATAGATCATTAGATTTCCTAACTTATCGTGTCGTACTTGTCAAGTTGTTCATAATCGTGCAAAGTTTAAAAATATGAAACGTTTCTAGGCACAGCCACAAGAGAATAACATTAGTTATTTGTGCGGCCCCGACAACATAATAAAGAGCAATAAAACTTTCCAGCGACCCTTTCTATCGAGTTATATAAAACTCGTTTATACCTTAATCCCCTGTGAAATATCGATTAATTTGTTATCGCTACATGTATAGTCTAGTAAAATCACGATCAGATTTAAGAATTCCAAAATATTCAGTACTTTCGGGAATAGAAATATTTTCGTAATATATTCAAGCAAGTACTATTATTTAAAACTGGGTCTAGGATACATTCGCACAGAGCTACACGCACGATGATCTTAGAAAGTTAGTGAGTAAGCTATATACCGTTTCCCCGAGTTATGAAATATAAAATTTGTGACATGCCACAGGTCCAGAGTTATAACATCTCATGCAACTGATGCAAGCAAATTCCATGTTCGCGTTCCGTACGTAAGCAACCGAGCAAGCTCCAGTTCTCCAAGCTGCCAACTTTCGTGCGAATAAATTAAGCCGAACATTATTATGCGTTTGTCCAATAAGAGCTTGGTATTCTACGGGGATTCAGCGCTGTTAGCCAATGGGAAACTGTATTTTAACGATTGTTTCGTTCAGTAATGAGACTTTGCGTTCGTTTACGCCTTCGGTGAATGTTAACTAGTACCACTTGTTATTTAATTACATTTTTGCATCAATCCGAATATTAATCAGTCTCTCGGTTCGGTCAAATTCTACGAATCAATGAAAAGCTATGAAGTTGTAAATGCCGGAGACACAAAGAAATGCATACCAAATCTGTTACACCAATAGGCCGCTGCAAAATGTTGTATTCGAGGGCAAACGAAGACGTGACTAGCGAAACCGGTATGGTGTAACGGGTCATGCCTATGGCTTTGTTTCCGTAGTATGACCAACGTCCATTCGCCATTTCAATATTAAGAAGATACTTAATCTCTTTGTATACGTCTCTTTATATACGTCCCGTTAATACCCATATTACCATACCGTAATAGGGAGACATATGTGCAGTTAATCCTCGTCAATTCGCGTAGGTTTTCATTATGAATAACGCGTACACGCGGTCTTTCCGTGTACCTTGCCTAATCCTAATATGCGTACATTTGTTCATCATGCGAACACAATGTGCACATATAGTTGGCTTCGCAACGTTAAACCATGTCAGTAATCACAGAATGTTATGGAAACTTGGCAAAGAGCTCCAAACAAGGGGCCACAAATACACTCACATTTTACCGAATTTTGCAAAGGAAACCTTCGATGATGTTCATGTGCTAATGTTCAATTCGTCAGTAACAAACAAGGACAGCGCGGATTGGTTTTTACGTTACGCGAGCTTAGGAGACGTCGGCAATAACATTTTCCGACTGTTTGAAGTTATGGCCACGATGGCAGCAGAAATACAGGAGATTACTCGACAGACTTGTGAGGACCTTTTAACACACGGAAGCTTGATTTCAGAACTCAAATCCGTTGATTTAGTGCTGTGTGACAATACAAACCAATCATTGCCATATTCTTGCTGATATGTTGAATGTAAGCCGCGTAGACGTGTCCATTCTAGGATTTTTTAATCTACTTGGCGTATACCTATTTGATTATCCACAGGCATCGGTATATGTGACATTGGGAGCTTCAATACACTTGCCAAGCGAGAGTAAATTTTCATTTATGAACCGATTGAAAGGTTTTGTGACCTGTGCCTGCTTTTGGAATCTTCATACCTACTATAAAACTGAAATCGACGATCTCTGGGAAAAGTACGGCAAAGCGAACTCGAAATTTCCGAGCTCCACAATCGCACGCCGAACGCACGGTATTGAACTCGTCCCACACGATTTTGTACTCGAACAGTCACGTCCTCTTGGCGTGAATATCAAAGTCATCGGTGCACTTCTACCGGAGCATGCTCGGAGACTTCCGGAGCTTTTGGATAAGCATATGAGTGCAAATAAAGTCGTTGTAATAGTTTCATTTGGTACAATTTTCTCGGACTATCCATCAAGCCTTGCTCAGACTATCGCTGATGAATTGAGCCAGGTTCCCGCTGCTGTTTTATGGAAATACTCTGGTGAAATGCCGAAAAATATTGATGAAAATATCAAGATAATTCAATGGTTTCCAAAAAACGAGTTTTCGTTCAACGACTTATTAGGCCATTCATCCACCAAGGTTTTTGTCAACCATGGTGGGTTGAATAGCTATCAGGAAAGTGTGTACCATGGGGTGCCAATGGTTGTCATACCAATGATGGCTGACCAACACCGACAGGCAGACTTGATACAACATAAAGGGCTTGGTGTGGTTATCCAATGGCCGGATATAATCGCCAATGGCAAAATATTGGGAGATGCTATCAACCAGGTGTTGAGTAACAAGGTGTATGTGGAGAATACCAAAAGACTCTCAGCAATAATGAAAGACAGAAAGCGAAGTCCAAGCCAGGAAGGTGCAGATTGGATCGAACATGCTTTACATCACGATGGAGCCTCTTATCTCACCAGCGAAGCTATTGATTTATCACAGTATAAATTGCACATGTTTGATGTCTTTATCTTCCTTATTCTTGTAGTATGTCTCATAGTTTATTTATTACTACGTATGTGCTACTGTTTATTAGGTGCTTGTGCCAAAAAGATGCAGGTTAAAGAGAAGCAGACCTAATAACCCTGGCAAATAATGTCAGCTGTTCAAATTAGAATACATTGATGCCTTTATCTCACTGCTAATTTGATTAAGAAAATATATTTCCCTAACACTGACCCCTAACAGGTTATGTTAAAATTTCTATGCTTGGTATCAAATGAATAAACCTCAATTTAATTGGTCAGAATTGTGTGAAGTTTTGAAGACCTCCTTACCTAAGATCTCCTTGCTACCCCGGCATTCATATATACAATCATTTTCAAAAGTAGTTGGGACACCTACTATTTTTAGCTAAAATCTACTATATAGGATGATTTCCATACATCCCCCCCCTCCCCCCAATCAATGTTGGTTTTCAAATCCAAACACGTTTCGGGACAAAATGTCCGTCTATTTGGGACACAACATTGAAAAGGGGGCGTGGGGGATCTGGGTTTGTCTCATAAATCGGTAATTTGGCTATCTGTCCCAACTCTTTTGAAAATGATTGTAGAATGAAATATAAAATATGTATTTTACAGTTTGCTAACATGAATTAATATATGAATTAGCCCCCACTAAAAATTTCTCGTCGCCACTATCCAACTTTGTTGCTTCACTAGGTTATTCATATGCTAGTTTGTCATTGAATCCGCTTCCGTCGACTTCACAATTCAAAAGAAAATTAGGCAAAAAATTTTCTCTTGATCGATTCTTGATCGATTCATAATCGATTATAAATTATTCGCCCAGTGGAAAACCGCCTTTGCCTCAGTTAAACCCAATACAACTAACTGGAACGATAACTGCAATGATAAGGTCTCTGATTGGTTGAAACCGATTTGAATCTGATTTGTATACTAAAAGACCACCAGCTTTAACAGTTTTATATACGCCTATTAGTTAACATGCACCGAAAGACTTATAGCCTCATTAACGAACGAAACTTACGTTGAGATCATTGTTCCCCATTGGCTGAGACTACCAAATTCGTTCGTTACCGTAAAATCCCGGGCTCGTATTGGTTGAAAGTTTAGTGTGATATATTCAGAAAAATAAGTTTGCAGTCAGTGGCGTAGCCAGCCTGACGATTTTGTCCCGCTATGTAAATTTCGAGTTATTATAATTATTCATTTCTTTAGAAATCTATTGTTTTCACAGTCAGTGAACACGAAAATATTAGCATAGCGGGACAAATCGACAGGCTGGCTACGCTACCAGAGTTGGTAGATATGCAAATATTTGAGGCCAAATTGTCATTAGTGCTATCAAGAAAACAAAGAAAACAAAAGGCAAAGACAAAGGAAACAAAGAACTAGTGTGATGTTGTTTGGCCTCAAATATGCAGCTATCTATACCAACCCTGTACGCTACTGTTTGCAGTTCTGTTTTGCATAAGTTCTTTCAACGCAAGTTGAATCCTATAATGTATTCTAATCTTAAATGTATTTATTATTAAATAATAAAGGAAGTTAATGTTATACGGGTCTTCGTATCGTAGTGTCTCGGGTCTTAGGACGCCGGTCCGGTCGGTTACTTGCCCCCTCCGGTGAGTATAAATATGAGCCCAAGCTGCCTGATCGAGTTGTTAGTTGCTTGCGTGAATCGATGCCGTCACAACCTTGAACCTTGTCCAACAAAATCATTTCACTATTATGGCTCAGGAAAATATGTCTCTTCAAGGAGTTGCTTTGAGTTCAACGCCAACTAGCTCTCCAGTCGTGTCTGCTATTACAAATTCAACAGTGGCATCGCAGTTGATCGCTACGGCTCCCCTTGTCGTTCGCTCTTCGCTATCTCAGCAACTTCAGCTAAATTTAGACGAGCATATTTCTTCGCCGTTATTCCCAACGCGTGTTCCATCGCCGGCTATTGCAAATCAGCAAATCGTCAGTGTTGCTTCTACTTGGCCATCGAGTCATCCAAGTTTGACACCATTTTTTGCTCAGCAGCCACCACAACTCGTTTTACTTCAATCAGCGACATCCACGGTTCCCAACAAGATCAAGCCTTAGCTGGACATAGGCAACCGCCTCAACAGACGCTGCTGCAGCCGTTGTATCGGATTCAAAATCCTATCCCTTCAGGTACGCCATATTTGTTTTCATCGTCTGCGTCCCCGGGCCCCGGGTTGGGGGTTTGTTTCCCCGGGTGTTTTTAGCATCTGGTGGTATTGCCTCGCCCCCTCGCTTCTCTACGGTCACCGCATCGGCCTTTTTTCTCCCCTCGTGGTCGGGCCTGGTTTTCCTCCGGTATCCCCGAAGCTTATAGCATCAATTTTCAACGGCGGGTTTGTCGAGTTGGCTTCTCTTATCGAAGAAACTTCAGTTCATGACACTCCTCCGTTTACCATCGGGGATAACGAGTTAGTTTTGCGACCGTCAAAGCGCCCTAAGGAAATTACAGATATTCTAACTTGGCTCCAAGCCTTTTCTGTTTATATCCTCGTGATGACGAATTTTGGCAGTCTCGCACCCCGGATTTGCTTCGCTACCAGTTACTTAGTTTCCGCTCCGCTCAGAAGCATCCTGGCTCGGGGTCCGGCCAGGCAGCTGCTCTCCGCCTCCCCGATTGGTCACATCTCCAACCGGAGCTGCATAATTTTTATATCTTCGGCGCCGGTGTTTCTTCTACTCCTGGTTCGCGGGTATCTACTTCGTTTTCCTCGTCCTCCAGCTTCCTTGAAGCGTCCGGTACCCCGTCGTCGTCCATTATTTGTCGCTCTTGGAACGCTGGTCGGTGTTCATCGCAATTCCTTAGGTGTCGGTTCCGTCATGCCTGTGATTATCCGGGTTGTCCCGCAATCCATCGTCATGGCATTGCCCACCAGTCTACACGGCGTCCTCGTTCACCATCTCGCTCGCAACCTGCGAAGAAGCTTCGATCATCAGACACCTCGCGTCGTTAGTTAGTCCTTAGTCGTCGGTGTGTGTGTTGTTTTTGTTCCGGTCGCTAACATTGTTCTGTGTGCTACTTTTATTGTTTATTGTAATTCGTGTTCGGTTATGAATTTGCTGACTAAAATATTTATCTAGATCACTTGTGATTAGTTGCGCACCGTTCGCACTGATCGCATCGTTCGCATCGTTCGCACCGTTCGCATCGTTCGCACTGATCGCATCGTTCGCACTCATCGCATCGTTCGCACCGTTCGCACTGATCGCATCGTTCGCACCGTTCGCATTGTTCGCACTGATCGCATCGTTCGCACCGTTCGCACTGATCGCATCGTTCGCATCGTTCGCACTGATCGCATCGTTCGCACCGTTCGCACTGATCGCATCGTTCGCATCGTTCGCACTGATCGCATCGTTCGCATCGTTCGCACTGATCGCATCGTTCGCACTGATCGCATCGTTCGCACTGATCGCATCGTTCGCATCGTTCGCACTGATCGCATCGTTCGCACTGATCGCATCGTTCGCATCGTTCGCACTGATCGCATCGTTCGCATCGTTCGCTAAAGCTCGCTGTGCTTGCTATTTTTCTGCGCTGTTGTAGGTGCTTTCGTTCGTGTTGTAGATCCACCATTGCCGGAATCCCGAATGCTGTTTCGCTGGTCTCCCGAGTTTTGCCGCTTCAATACGTCGAGTTTCATCGGGAATTTAATCAACCATCCCAATCAAGCTTCGGTTCGCTACGTGTTGGATGGTATAGCTCACAGCTTTCCGTCGGGTTTTGATCCTTCGCTAGTCTCTTTACGATCATCGCACCGCAACATGAAATCGGTCTTGCAACATCCCGATGTTATCGACAAATATTTGGCAAATGAAATTTCGCATGGTCGTGTCGTGGGTCCTTTTGCTTCGCCACCGTTTCCTAATCTACAGTGCAGCCCGTTTGGGGGTCATTCCAAAGAAAGGCCAGCCTGGTAAATGGCGTCTCATTCTGGATTTGTCGTCACCCGAAGGCCATAGCGTTAATGACGGCATCCCAAAGGATCCTTTCTCCTTGACTTACATCTCCGTCGATCATGCCATTGCTCGTTTAGTACAGCTTGGTTCGGGTGCCTTTATAGCCAAAAAAAAAAAAAAAATTTGACGTGGAATGTGCGTACCGTAACATCGCTCTCAGGCCTGACGAACGTTTCTTTTGGCATGTGGTGGCGCGAGTCATATTTCGTCGATTTGGCTCTTCCGTTTGGTCTGCGTTCCGCCCCATTTATCTTCAACTTCGTCCCCGAGATGGTGGAATGGATTCTTAAAGCTAATTATCGCGTTCGTTTTCTACTTCACTACCGGGACGATTTCCTGACCTTGGCCCCGGCAACTCCACCGAGTGCGCTAGTAATGTAGCCATCGCCAGGTCCTTATTCCTCCGTTTGGGTTTGCCCGTCCATCCGCTGGTTGCCATCCGCTAAATTTGTGGCTATCGTAGAGCTTCTCCAAAATTGGAGTCGTAAGTCTTGGTGCACTCGTCGAGAGTTAGAATCCCTTATCGGCTCGCTTCACCACGTTATGAAAGTTGTTCCGCCCGGTCGCACGTTCCTCCGGTCGCACGTTCCTCCGGCGTATGATTACCAGGTGATCTCGCGCTCATATTTCAGCCAATCAGCGCTCAGAAAGTTTGTGAAAATAGAAATCCATTCTGCAGTGTTTAATCGATTGTATCTTTTGTTATTCTTGATGGAACCATTCGAAATTTTGTGTTCATCTTTAGTTATAAGAGCTATAGCTCTGATATAAATTTGAAACCGAAATAAAGTATATTTCACGAGATATTAAGTTTTTTTAACGAAGAAATGGATTTTTATATGACAACTAGTCCTAGTCCTCTCCCGCCATATCAGATCATCTGGTAATTGGCTCTGCGCTTTTCGTTCGCCTATACCCACCCTATTCGGCTCAATACGGAGTTCCGTCTCGATCTCGGCTGGTGGCTTGAATTCATGCAATCCTGGATTGGAATCAGTTTCTTCCGCATGTCATCCGTTCGTTCGCTTCCCGACTCGTTGTTGCCTCTGATTCCTCGGGAGCTATCGGCTTTGGTGCTATTTGGTCCAACGCTTGGTTTGCCAGTTCGTGGCCCTCCTTCACGCCTTTGGAATTGTTTCCCATTGTCGTTGCAGCGTATGTTTGGGGTTATCTATGGCATCGGTTACAGATCGAGTTCTTATACGACAACGACGCTGTCGTCGCAATAATCAATTCGGGGACCTGCCGAGACTAGTTGTCCATGCACTTGTTACGCAGACTGGTGTTGGTGGCCTGCCGGTTCCATTTTTCAGTTTTCGCGCGCCACGTTCCTGGACGGCATAATTCGGCAGGTGATTGCCTTTCTCGCTTTCGGTTTCAGGAGTTTCGTCGCTTTCATCCCAACGCGGAACCTCGTCCCACGCCTGTCCCGTTGTCTCTGGTGTCGGAGCTGCTCAACAAGTCATTTTTTTTTCCTTCGCAAAATCTGGAAGCGGGCCGGCGTAATGGGGAACTACTCTTCTCACAGTTTTCGCATTGGGGCTGCTACTTCCGCCGCCGCGGATGGGATTCCGGATCATCTAATTCAAGCGATTGGACGTTGGACTAGCCAAGCTTACCTTCGCTACGTTCGCACATTTCCGCAGTCATTTTCAACGTTGCCCCGCTGCTGTAGGGTTGGAGACTGGTGGAGAAGGTTAACGGTAACCTAACTCCAACCCCTCATCTGGCTTGGAGACATACTTGGGGGGTACCGTTAAAATAGCATGGTTCGTAGAGTTATTATCTGCGCCGAAAACAGCAAACTCAAAAGAAACACCGTTTCACCCCTAGCCCGATCGTTTCGCTCGGATACCGTCTCCATCCCTACCGATCGGCAGCGGGCAAAAATATAGTGTAAGTGCTGGTGTGCTATTGTACTGACGTGAGCCTTAGGATCCGTTAGAACGTTAAATGTATTTATTATTAAATAATAAAGGAAGTTAATGTTATACGGGTCTTCGTATCGTAGTGTCTCGGGTCTTAGGACGCCGGTCCGGTCGGTTACTTGCCCCCTCCGGTGAGTATAAATATGAGCCCAAGCTGCCTGATCGAGTTGTTAGTTGCTTGCGTGACCCATCCCTCCCCTTTCCCTAACGACTTCACGCGATGTTGTGAACTCTACGGGAGAAGCGTCTTATTAATCTCGCTTGGTTTTTTTTGTTAGTTTTTGTTTTGCAGGATTAAGCACAATTCTTTTCACACCCGCTTTGGTCGTTGAATTGGTGTTTGGGGTAAAGGTAAATTCATTAATGATCGCCACATTTACAGGTATTTTTCTTTTTTTGTGTGTGTGTGTGTACTTTGATGTTCGTATCGTTTATTCCACGGTTTCACTTCTGTGACTCACGTGTGACAGTTGATCACGGGATGGAGGAGGTACCGTTAAAATAGAACTCAAACTCAAAAGAAACACCGTTTCACCCCTAGCCCGATCGTTTCGCTCGGATACCGTCTCCATCCCTACCGATCGGCAGCGGGCAAAAATATAGTGTAAGTGCTGGTGTGCTATTGTACTGACGTGAGCCTTAGGATCCGTTAGAACGTTAAAACGCCTTTGCACTGACCGATAATTATGTGGCTTATGTACATTCATGCAAATTCATTTGACATAATGTAGATTCTAAAATTCCCGCCTAAAATTCTTCGACAAACAACATTTCGCTCTCCGGCATCTCGGTATATACATGCAAGGGTCGAACGTTTGCTGGAATTCGAAGCATGTCGAAACCTCTCGTCGCTAACGACTTCATTTACGACGAAATCCAATGCGGAGAACGCCATTCCTTTAATAGTGATCGTAAATCCGCAAATTTCTCTCGCGGTGGCATATTGAAGGTAGTAAGACTTTTAGTTTTATAGAAGTTCATCTATTATCGCAGCTCGGTAATTTTAACTGAATAAATGTTTGTTTGTAAAAGACTGCTTTATCTCTCTCTATATTAATTTTGCTAACCTAAAACTCGTCCCAAAGGACTGTGAGTTTTTATTTGTCGTATGAGACGAAAATTCTGACTATTTACAACGTTGGATGCATATAAAAATTAATAGTTTTAGGTTCAAGTATACGGGGTGTGTTGTCCGCAGTTCCATGCTATAAGCCTGTAAACCTAACGAAAAATACCATAAATATAGAGAAATTAAATCTGTGCTCGACTAATTATTTTTTAACAAGCATCCAAGCGCATCCCACATCGTGTCATTTGCAATCATTATAAATCTAGCCAATAACAATGAAGAACTTGTATGTTTGTACATTTACATAACTGAATATAACGTCGCAAACGTCCTTCAGTGCATGTCAACTACTTCAACATTATATATATTTACATATATCACTTATCTGCCGAGTGTATAAAAATGTAACTTTGGAATTTCTCAAGAAACCACATTGACCTCAAAGTAAATAAGATTTTAGTTCCCTAGGGCTAGAGCCTAGACTACATTTCCAATCGTATTCCAGCGGCCGGTTGCACAGGGTGTATCCAAAAAACATGAATATTCGATCTTTTGTGAGCGAATAGGAAGCGAATATTCATGAATATTTACTGTTGCGTTTGTTTATCCACCTTGTATAAAACTTTTAAAGCGGGTCATTTAGTATACAAATTATAGGATTTTAGAGACCCTATCATTGTATTGCAGTTCACTGAGGCAAAGCCGGTTTTCCACTGGGCGAATACCTCGATCAAGCGAAAATTTTTTTGCCTAATTTTCTTTTGAATTGTGACAAGTCAACGGAAGCGGATTTTGAATGACAAACTAGTATATGAATAACCTAGTGAAGCAACAAATTTGGATAGTGGCGACGAGAAATGTTTAGTGGGGGCTAATATTCATATTAACAGACTGTAAAAATACATATTATATAAAGGCATCAATGTATTCTAATTTGAACAGATGATATTATTTGCCAGGGTTATTAGGTCTGCTTCTCTTTAACCTGCATGCATTCTTCTGCCACAAGCACCCAATAAACAGTAACACAAACGTAGTAATGAATACTGCTTTCGGTCTTTCATTATTGTTGAAAGTCGTTTATAGTATTCTCCACATAAACTTTGTTATTTAGCACCTTGCTAATAGCATCTTGCAATACATTTCTATTGGCAATTAAAGACTTCCATATATTTTCTTAATCAAACTAGCAGTGAGATAAAGGCATAAATGTATTTTAATTTGAACAGCTGACATTATTCGCCAGGGTTATTAGGTCTGCTTCTCTTTAACCTGCATCCTTTTGGCACAAGCACCCAATAAACAGTAGCACATACGTAGTAATAAATAAACTATGAGACATACTACAAGAATAAGGAAGATAAAGACATCAAACATGTGCAATTTATACTGTGGTAAATCAATAGCTTCGCTTGTGAGATAAGAGGCTCCATCATGATGTAAAGCATGTTCGATCCAATCTGCACCTTCCTGACTTGGGCTTCGCTTTCTGTCTTTCATTATTGCAGAGAGTCTTTTGGTATTCTCCACGTACACCTTGTTACTCAACACCTGGTTGATAGCATCTCCCAATATTTTTCCATTGGCGATTATATCCGTCCATTGGATAACCACACCAAGTCCTTTATGTTGTATCAAGTCTGCCTGTCGGTGTTGGTCACCCATCATTGGTATGACAACCATTGGCACCCCATGGTACACACTTTCCTGATAGCTATTCAACCCACCATGGTTGACAAAAACCTTGGTGGATGAATGTCCTAATAAGTCGTTAAACGAAAACTCGTTTTTTGGAAACCATTGAATTATCTTGATATTTTCACCAATATTTTTCGGCATTTCACCAGAGTATTTCCATAAAACAGCAGCGGGAACCTGGCTCAATTCATCAGCGATAGTCTGAGCAAGGCTTGATGGATAGTTCGAGAAAATTGTACCAAATGAAACTATTACAACGACTTTATTTGCACTCATATACTTATCCAAATGCTCTGGAAGTCTCCGAGCAGGCTCCGGTAAAAGTGCACCGATGACTTTGATATTCGCGCCAAGAGGGCGCGACTGTTCGAGTGCAAAATCGTGTGGGACGAGTTCAATACCGTGCGTTCGGCGTGCGATTGTGGAGCTCGGGAATTTCGAGTTTGCTTTGCCGTACTTTTCCCAGAGATCGTCGATTTCAGATTTATAGTAGGTATGAAGATTCCAAAAGCAAGCACAGGTCACAAAACCTTTCAATCGGTTCATAAATGAAAATTTACTCTCGCTTGGCAAGTGTATTGAAGCTCCCAATGTCACATATACCGATGCCTGTGGATAATCAGATAGGTATACGCCAAGTAGATTAAAAAATCCTAGAATGGACACGTCTACGCGACTTACATTCAACATATCAGCAAGAATATGGCAACATTGGTTTGTATTGTCACACAGCACTAAATCAACGGATTTGAGTTCTGAAATCAAGCTTCCGTGTGTTAAAAGGTCCTCACAAGTCTGTCGAGTAATCTCCTGTATTTCTGCTGCCATCGTGGCCATAACTTCAAACAGTCGGAAAATGTTATTGCCGACATCTCCTAAGCTCGCGTAACGTAAAAACCAATCCGCGCTGTCCTTGTTGGTTTGAACATCAGCACATGAACATCATCGAAGGTTTCCTTTGCAAAATTCGGTAAAATGTGAGTGTATTTGTGGCCCCTTGTTTGGAGCTCTTTGCCAAGTTTCCATAACATTCTGTGATGACTGACATGGTTTAACGTTGCGAAGCCAACTATATGTGCACATTGTGTTCGCATGATGAACAAATGTACGCATATTAGGATTAGGCAAGGTACACGGAAAGACCGCGTGTACGCGTTATTCATAATGAAAACCTACACGAATTGACGAGGATTAACCGCACATATGTCTCCCTATTACGGTATGGTAATATGGGTATTAACGGGACGTATGTAAAGAGACGTATACAAAGAGACGTAAGTAAATTAAGTATGTTCTTAACATTGAAATGGCAAATGGACGTTGGTCATACTACGGAAACAAAGCCATATAGGCATGACCCGTTACACCATACCGGTTTCGCTAGTCACGACGTCTTCGTTTGCCCTCGAATACAACATTTTGCAGCAAATGCCTATTGGTGTAACAGATTTGGTATACATTTCTTTGTGTCTCCGGCATTTACAACTTCATAGCTTTTCATTTATTCGCAGAATTTGACGAAATGTGATTAAATAACAAGTGGTACTTGAACATTATATATATTACATATATCACTGATCTGCCGAGTGTATAAAAATGTAACTTTGGAATTTCGCAAGAACCCACATTGACCTCAAAGTACATAAGATTTTAGTTCCCTAGGCCTAAAAAGCCTAGACTACATTTCCAATCGTATTCCAGCGGCCGGTTGCACAGGGTGTATCCAAAAAACATGAATATTCGATCTTTTGTGAGCGAATAGGAAGCGAATATTCATGAATATTTACTGTTGCGTTTGTTTATCCACCTTGTATAAAACTTTTAAAGCGGGTCATTAAGTATACAAATTATAGGATTTTAGAGACCCTATCACTGTATTGCAGTTCACTGAAGCAAAGGCGGTTTTCCACTGGGCGAATACATCGATCAAGCGAAATTTTTTTGCCTAATTTTCTTTTGAATTGTGACAAGTCAACGGAAGCGGATTTTGAATGACAAACTAGTATATGAATAACCTAGTGAAGCAACAAATTTGGATAGTGGCGACGAGAAATGTTTAGTGGGGGCTAATATTCATATTAACAGACTGTAAAAATACATATTATATAAAGGCATCAATGTATTCTAATTTGAACAGACGAGATTATTTGCCAGGGTTATTAGGTCTGCTTCTCCTTAACCTGCATCCTTCTGCCACAAGCACCCAATAAACAGTAACACAAACGTAGTAATGAATAAACTAGGAGACATGCTACAAGAGTCAGGAAGATACAGACATCAAACATGTGTAATTTATACTGTGGTAAATCAATAGCTTCGCTTATGAGATGAGGGGCCCCATCATGATGTAAAGCATATTCGATCCAATCTGCACCTTCCTGGCTTGGGCTCTGCTTTCTGTCTTTTATTATTGTTGAAAGTCGTTTAGTATTCTCCACATAAACTTTGTTATTTAGCACCTTGCTAATAGCATCTTGCAATACATTTCTATTGGCAATTAAAGACTTCCATTTGACAGCAACACCAAGCTCTTTATGTTGTACCAAATTTGCCTGTCGGTATTGGTCACCCATCATTGGTATGACAACCATTGGCACCCCATGGTACACACTTTCCTGATAGCCATTCAACCCACCATGGGTGACAAAAACCTTGGTGGATGAATGCCCTAATGTTTCGTCGGAACCAAGACGACCGGTTAGCAAGTAATCTCAGACATTAAACCAAAGAAGTCTCGCAAATCGCATTATAAATTATATAATAACAATTCGATCTAAATAGAGCAAATTAATACAAAGAAATATTAAAGTAAACATGCATATAAGCCTATAAATGTTCGCACGTGTGGCGTATAAATTACCCATACAATGCATAAATTCTGCGTAAACAAACTAGAATATAAAGTCAATGTCTTACTTCTGTGGCGAGATCCTTTAGCTGTCTATTTCATCGTTTATCGTTCAGGTTAGCCCGTCTTTCTTTCATTTACTTATTTAACAAAACATGCGTTATATTTACACCTTTTCCGTCTCGCTGTGCGTCTATATGCTAATGCTATGATTGCTATTTGATACCTAATATTGTCATCATAGTTTCAAAGTTCAATTATAATGAGTTCCATTCGTGTCTACGCACGTGTATATAAACTGTCAATCCACTCTCCCCCCCGATGAGGACTCTTCCTCATCACTTAATGTTACTAATTGTGAGTTACTTATCTTCATATCCTTCTGCAGGGTACAGTACTGCGACTTTTGTAATAGGTCTTTCGTAGTGCGATGTGGATGTCTTCACCTTAACGTACGAATTCGTCCGTCATTTCCAGGATATACATTAACAATTCTGCCCGTAGTCCAGTTTCCACGAATCGCATTCGTATCTTGAACCACGACGATGTCATCCACTCGTACATTTCTTTTTTCAGTAGTCCATTTCTTTCTGGGAACTAAGGTGGGAAATACATCTCTGCTCCAACGCTTCCAAAAACTATCGATGATCTTCTGGACAAATTCAACACGATGTTGAGGATTCTTCGTTTCTCTGAATGGCCCTTGTGGTACCATTGTTGATGCTCGACCAAGTAAAATGTCGTTTGGACAAAGGAAAGAACCGTCATCTGGATCATTGGGGATCCTTCCAATAGGACGCTGATTAATCAGGTTACTAACTTCCAGCAAGCATGTGTACAGCTCGAACGGAGCCAAAATTTGTTCACCAATCGCGATCTTTAATGCTTTCTTCGAACTCTGACAAGAGCCTCAGCACAACCGTTATGATGTGGTGCTGCAGGAGTAATAAATCTCCACTCCATTCCTTTCTCGGCGCTGAATTCCTTCAACTCTTTCTCGTTCCATCCTTCTATCATTTCTCGGAGTTCACGTTGAGCTCCCACCAGCTGCGTCCCGTTGTCACTGATCATCAGAGCCGGTTGTCCACGGATTGCGAAAAATCGACGTAAGGTTTGCAAGAATTCCATAGCGGAATAGTCCACTGCGATTTCCAGGTGTACGGCACGAGTATTCAGACATGTAAACAGTACGCCATAGTGTTTGGTTGTTTGTTTCGGCCAATTTTAACTTGGTAAGGACCGAAGTAATCGCATGCCGTGCGATGAAAGGGTGGTGTGAATGGCTCCAGTCGGGTAATTGGTAGGTCTGACATGAACTGCTCCTCGGTTTTGGCTTGGATTCGGCGACAACATACGCATCGGAACTTTATTGACTTGGCAAGATCATGACATCGGATAATCCAAAACTTTTTCTTGATCTTTGCAACGGTTGTTGCAACTCCTGAGTGGCCGTTTCGATGGAAGTTACGAGTGATCAGCAGGGATATCCAGTGTTCACGTGGGAGTAAAACTGGATGTTTGGCATCGTACGAGATTACGGCTTCGCTTACTCGACCTCCGACTCTGATAACTCCGTTGTCATCGGTAAACGGGGTGAGTCCTTTCAGTTCTCCCTTTTTCAGGCGATCATGAAGTGACTTCTGACTTTGTTTGACCCAATACAACTCGGCATCTTCTAACTCCTTTGCTGAGATTGATCTATCATCTGAGGTGTCTTTCGGTCGGGTCGTTTCTGTGTTGTCTTTGTTTTGATGCTTGTTTCGTAGCGTGTTGATGAACCGTAACACATAGGCTGTGACTCGGATAAGTTTCCCCCAACTGGAAAACTTCTTGCACGGAATGACTTCTGGCGATTGGGTTACTTGAAAGACAGGTTGAACTTTTCGACGTTCAGACTGATCGATATCCACGCTTTTAGTGATGGTAGCAGAAGACGACTCGCTCGGCCATTCTTCCTCCGGTAACTTCAGAAACTCGGGGCCATACTTCCATCTGCCTGTCAGTTGCAGAGCAGGTATTCCTCGCGACACATCATCAGCGACATTTAGCTCTCCAGGAACGTGTCTCCACTGATCTGGTTCAGACTTGCTCTGGATTTCGGCAATTCGGGCTGAAACGAACGGCTTAAACTCTCTGGGTTGGTTACGGATCCATGAAAGAACAATGTGGCTGTCAGAGAAGAAAATTATCTTCACAAACTTCATTCGAGACTCTTCGAGAATAGAACAACATAATCGTGTCGCCAGGACAGCTGCTTGTAGCTCTAAACGAGGTATGGTCAGCGACTTCAGTGGGGCTACTCTTGACTTTGCTGCGATGAACCTGGTTACAAAGGTGTTGTTTTCTGTCTCCCATCTGATGTAAGCACATGCTCCGAAGGCTTCAATCGATGCGTCCGAGAAAATGCATAGTACTGGCGCTCCGATCACGGAATCTGGCGTAAGAGACCTTTCGAAGGTGACGTTGTTCAGGTCGTTCATCTCTTGGAAGAATCGTATCCACGTTATTTGGAGATTCGGCGGCAATTCATCATCCCATTGTAGTCCTTCTAACCACAGTTTTTGCATCTCTATTTTGGCGCGAATCAGGAAAGCTGCAGCTACTCCTAGAGGATCGTAGATCCGAGCTACTTGGCTTAGTATTGCTCTCTTCGTAAGTTTAACTAGTTCAGGAGGAATCACTTTGAACCCAAAAACGTCGTCGTGGTGGTTCCAGACAGTTCCCAAAACTTTCTCTTCAACTGGGCCTTGTAGGAGCTTTAATTCCAATTCACTTTTTTCAATAACGCTTTCATCATTCTTCTTTAATGACCGGTTTGAGAGCCAACACTTCACGTTAAAACCACCGTTGCGAAGGATTTCGTCAATCTCTGCTGTTATTTTTCTTGCTTGATTTTCAGAATGGACCGAATCGCATATGTCGTCCATGTAAGTATTCTTCTTTAAGACTTCAGCAGCTGCAGGGTAGCGTTTTTCTCCTTCTTCAGCAGTCTTTTGCA